CAGGCAGGGCCCCGGCGCGCCGACCCGGGCCTCACCGCGCCCGCGGGCGACTCCACGCCAGCCTCACACCCCCGGGAGTCCCCGGCCTCTGCAGCCTGGGGCATCGATTATCCCCGCCCCCAAACTGCTCTTTTCCGGGAACCGGCAGCCGGCTTAGCTCTCCTAGGCCTCGCTGCACCCTCGACCGGTCCTCGGCTCAGCCGCAGATCCCTGGAAGCCCCGGGCCCACAGGCTGAAAGTTGGCCTCTTCCAGGGACACCCCGCCCACCCAGTCTTTCTAGGCTTTACTGAACCGCAGAATCCCTCAGCTCTTCTCACCGCCCCAGCTGACCTAAGGTGAGCTCAGCCAGCATCCCAGTCTCTTAGCAATTCTCGGCTTCCCCTTATGCTGGGCACAGGAGTTACCCACAGAGGCCTGGAATATGGGGGCAGGCCTCAGGGAAGCCTCTAGAAGGAGAGGTTCACGCAGGAGTCCTAGTCCTACCCTGCAGTACATGGGGAGAGGTACTAGCCAAGGATAAAATGGAGCTGGAAAAGGAGGCGTTCCAGAGCGTGACCTTAGCTAGAGTGGACTGGTGGGAATGGCAGAAGCTGATCCTGCACCCTTAACTTGCCCAGCCAGGCACCCCACGCAGAGACGAGTGTGTCATTTGAAAGAATTCTTGGCAAGAGGTTGGAGTATTTAGGAGCTGAGGACCGTGCAAGGGTGATCGCCATCAGTTTGCTAGTGCAAACTTTTGCACATTCTGGGCTTTTCCAAAATAACTGTTTGATTCTAAAGAAAAGGGTGCCAAGCAGAATTGGCTGTGGGGGAAAATCATACTGTGGGGAAGCCATGCGAGCTTGTGTGCATTCCAAGCATCCTTATACTGAGGAATGCCACTGGTTCAGATGGTTTTACAGCAAGATCTATCATACCATCCCGGACAAACAATCCCAATATCATTTAAACTGTTGCACAGAAAAAGGAAAGCGAAAAACAAAAAAATTCCATTGCAATTCCCACGGTTAGCATAACTCTAATACCGAAATCCAGCAGAGATAACGCCAAAAAAGAAAATTGCAGATAACTAGTATAGAATGCTATTCTCTGGAGAATTTAATAGGTGTTTTTGGAAAACGAGATTCTGTAGTCAAATACCTTGAGAAAATGATTCATACGATTTACAGTCTACCTTTTGTAGAATCACAGTAATTCAGCATATTAAGGTCTCTGGGAAGTACAGGAGTAAAGAATCATGTTTCATTTGTTTCACAATTTGGCATTTCCCAAATTGATCTGAGCCAGGACCACCTTTTAAAGTTCACTGATTAATCTCCAAATTGTGAATCACTTAAGTAATAGTAGTTGCAAAATTAGTAAATAAAGTTTAGGCAATTTGAATCCAGCTTACTATAAAGTAAGTAAAAACCCACCACGATCAAGCAAGATTTGTTTTAGACATGCAAAGAAAATTCTACTTTAGGGAACACATAAATTTATTGCATTATTAAAGGAAAATAAATCATAGGAAATTAGCAATAAGAATAGATGCTTTAAAAGCATTTAATAAACTTCAAAAACCAATGACTTACAATTTTTTAAAAACTCCTAGTAAACTAGGAAGAAAATTTAAATGTCTTTTTTTTTAATTAGAAAAAATATATTATTGTAAAGGGGAAATTACAAACATATTTCACTTATAAATGAGGATGCAACATCCTAAACAACATATTAACAAGTTGAATTAAAAATTAATGTTTAAGTAATGTACTTTGGTCAAAATTAAATCCAGTTTATGTGAGAATTAGTCACTATTTTCTTTTCTCTTTTTTCTTTTCCTTTCCCTCACCCCTCCCTCCTCTGTCTGCTCTCCCCTTCCCCCATGCCACACCATGTCATTAATTGTCATTGATTGTCCTCATATCAATGTTGAGTACATAGGATTCTTACTTCTCCATTCTTGTGATGCTTCACTAAGAATAATGTGTTCCACCTCCATCCAGGTTAGTACAAATGCTGCAAAAATCTCCATTTTTTAATGGCTGAATAGTATTCCATGGTATACATATACTACAGCTTGCCATTCCATTCCTGGGTTGAAGGGCATTTAGGCTGTTTCCACATTTTAGCAATTGTAAATTGAGCTGCGAGAAAATTTAAACTTCTTAACAAGACAAAGTTTATCAGAAGCCGCTGATAAACATTTAATGGTGAAACACGAAAGGTATTCATTTAAGGAACAAAGGAAATTTGCTATAATTGCCACAGGCTAAAGCCAATGTAATAAGGTAAGAAAAATAAATAAGAAATACAAATACTGGAAAGGAAAAGATAAACTCACCATCATTTGATTATGACATAAGTGCTCCCCCCCCCCAAAATAAGAAAGAATCACTAAAAATTTTAAGAGGCTTTGGTAAAGTGGTTAGTTATAAAATAAACACTAAAATCAAAGTCTTTTTTAAATATTAAGGAAGAAATCTTCTTTTCCATATATAGAGACTTCCCTTATGAGTGATTTTGTAGGAAGTGTTTGGAGAGTTTGGGAGAAGTAATTGAACAAGAGTAGATGCTTCTAAGTTCTGCTTTTTTGATTTGGCTGGCTGCAGAGAGAAAATCTTTTCATATGCTGTCACTACATTGTTATGTGAACCTATGTGCAGGAGCAGAGAGATACTACTGTCATGCATTGCCTTCAACTATAGAAATAAATCTACCCAATTTGGGGGAAAATATATCAAGCCCACTTAGCTACATATCAAAAGCTGTACTTTCCAATCTGCTATGTCTTTTTCTTGTATCTATGACTTAGTTTGTTCCAGACTCAAGAGGGAGGCAGGTATTACTCATAGAATCCCCCAAATATACCACTAAATACCAGTGATTTCCATTTAGAAAGATGATAGAAAAATTTATATTCACCTTAGTAATGAATATTACAAGGCATATATTAGGCATAAGTGTAACAAGGAGTAACAAGGTCTATAGAAAAAAAACTATAAAACCTTATTGAACAAGACAAAATAAGATCTTAATAAGTGAAAAAATATAAGAAATCCCTGGGCAGGAAGTCTCAATGTTGCAAAGACATTGTACCTTTCCAACTCAGTTTATAAATTTAGTGGAATCCAGATCAAAGAACCAATATGATTTGGGGGGTTAGATGGGGGTGGAACATGATACAATTATTTTGAAACTTATCTTGAGGATAAATGTGGAGAAATATCTAGGAAATATTTGAAATGGAAGAATGATGATGGAATATGGCTTTAACAGATACTAAAATAGAATGTGAAGACATCAGTAAATAAAGCTATGGGCCACTAGTGTAGTAATATACACTTTTATCAAAAGTTAAGTTCTATTCATAAGTGATTTGTTTTTATGTATTGATCTATTTGTAGATTTCTATATAAATGTTCGTATAAAAATAGGCATATCCATTGCATATTATATATTTTTATATGATAGGAATATCAGTTTTATCCATTAATCTGTTTGTATATTCCTATAATAAAGGATATACAAATTTGTATATTCCTATAAATTTATTTTATCCATTGATCTATTTGTATATCCTATAAATATAGGATACACCCTACTTCAGACCATATTATGTGGCCTAGACCATTTTGATAGCTTCCTTGCTGAGTCTCCTGGCTTTATCCCACTCAAACAACAGAAAATTGCAACCAGAGCAATCAAAAAATAATAACAAATTGCAGCAGGCACTCCTTTGCTTAAAGCCCTTCAGTGATTTTCCATGCACTAACACAAAATTTAAATGCTCCGGCATGACCTACCAGGTCCTGTGCTGTCTGGACTTAGCCTGCCCTTCCATCTTCCTCCCAGCTGCTCTGACCACACTGGCTTCTTTTTAGATTCTTAAATATCAAAACTATTTCTTCGCGGTGTGGATGCCTGGAGCACTCCTTTCACTTTTTACAGGACCTGGGCTCTTCTCATCCTTCAACTCTAAGCTTAAATGTCACCTTCTCAGAGGCCTTTGCTGGTCATCTATCTAAAAATGTTCCTGCTGTTTCCATCCATACCGCATTAGTCCATTTCCTGCTTATCACTCATTATAATCTGTAACCATCCACTGTTTACCTGTGCAGCTGTCAGTTTCCCCACTATACCAAAAGCTCCACCCACGCAGGGGACATATCTGTTTTGTTCACCAAGCATAAATGTGTCACACATACTGGCCCCTCAGTAAACATCTTAGAGATAGATGTGTCAACGTTTAATATGCACATCCCCTTTGTCCATGTCTGATCATTTATCCAAAGTAAACAATCAGAAAAGTGCACACAGATGCATGTTCAAGGATAATTATTGCAGCATTGCTTGTAATGAGAAAATATTGGACATAGCCTAAATGTCCAGTAATAGATTGAGTCATTAAAAAAAGCTGTACTGACATAGAAATATATCATGGTATTTTGTCAAGTTAAAAAAAAAAACAGGTTATAGAACAGAATGCATTTGTTATATGAGCCCATCAATTTTATATGTATCTGTGATTGTTTGTACGTACAGACAGTCCCTGGGTAATGGACAACCCAACTTATGGCATTCTATACTTATGAACAGACTCCCAGGCTCCCCATAAGGGTAATATATAATTAAATAATTGAAGTAATCATTCGAGAGCTAGTTTCTTCTGAACACCTGAACAAACCCTCAGCGCATAAGCAATTGGTGGGGTAGCACTGGTACCCTCACGGCTAGTCTCACAGATGGAAGAAGCAGTTGAGAGAAACACAAAAATGAAGAATCAGAAGATCCAGAGCCAAGTAAAGAATTAGCTGAAGACTTTTGTCTTACTGAAGCAGGTTTTGCTAAGCTTGAGGAGCAAGAGCCTAACAGGAAGCAATTTACAAAGGTTTACTGTGCAGTCCGTGTGAACATCAGCTGCTACAAGGCCGTTTATGATGAAGAAAAGAAAAAGGTTGTGCAGACAATCCTAGATGCTTTTTTCAAGAAACTGTTAAGCTTGTTCATCTGGTCACAGGAGCAGATCCCGATTGTCCAGCACCCACTCTGGCCCCTCCAGCACTACCTTTACCATCATCTTCCAGTGAATGAAATGCGCCCCCCAAGCAAGACATTGATGCA